CGACGGCGACGGCGGCGACGACGACGGCGACGACCCCGAAGAGGACGGCGGCGTGTAAATCTTAGTGGATAGGGACAAGATCGATGCTGGCCCATCCTGGCCTTCTCCGCCCGCCTCCCCGGTTCAGCCGCCGCTCCCTCTGAAGCCCTGGGCGTCTCTTCTCCCTGCCGCCCCGGGCCGCCCCCTTTGTTTCTTCGGGATCGGGGGCCCCCAATCGAGGCAGAAACAACGGCAGAAGCATAAACTTTTGGAGTTCCACGCAGATTCCTCGGATCGGCGCCCAGGCCCCCTCCTGGCAGCGCCTCCGGCGCCGCCACTGGCGCGCTCCGCGCGCCGGGGAGGGGGGTTTAGCGCCGCTCCGCGCGGAGCTCCGCAAGCTTAGGTTTCTGCTGATTGTCCTCCTCGACCTAAGCGGCGCTGTGACCACATTGTGTGGTGAATCAGTGGGCAGTCCGGAGGACCGCACGGTTTTGGGACCTGGGTCGTTCTCCGAGGACGTCTCAGGGCGATTGGGGCCCCCGAGGTCCCAGAACGGTGCGGTGAGGTCTTTCGGGGGTGTCTGAGGTCACTGCACGGTCTGTCTCCGCACCGTTTTGGGACCCACCACCTTTCGGCTCTGGGATGGAGGGGGAGTGGGGGACCGGGGGCAGGGGGACAAGCTTGGCACGCTCGCGCCGCCATCTCTAACGCCTGCCCCTCCCCAACCCCTTTCCCACTGCCTCTGAGTCCTTCTCCGTTGCCGCAAATCGGCAGGTGTCGTGTAAAAGCGTGATCCTGCAAGAGTAGCACGATAGAAGAGGACCCTGTTCACTGGGAGCAAAAAGCTGGGAGGGAGCGAGGGAGGTGAACTGGGGAAGGGGATGCTGACGCAGATGGTGATGGTGATGGTGATGGTGATGGTGATGGTGATGGTGATGGTAATTGTGATGATCATGATGATGATGTTGATGATGATGCTGCTGCTGATGTTGCTGCTCATGATGATGATGATGGTGATGCTGATGCTGATGCTGATGCTGATGCTGATGTTGATTATGGTGTTGATGCTTATGCTGCTGCTGCTGCTGCTGATGATAATGACGATGTTGATGATGATAGTAACGGTGATGGTGATGTTAGTGATGGTGATGGTGATGGTGATGGTGATGGTAATGGTGGTGATGATGATGAGGAGGAGGAGGAGGAGGAAAGGACTTGGAAAAGGAGGAGGAGGAGGAGGAGTCGGAGGAGGAGGGGGAGGAGAAGTTGGAGGAGGAGCAGGAGGAGAAGGAGGAGGAAGAGGAGGATTCTTTACGCTTCGCGTATCCCCACCAGCCCATCTCACAACAGCAACTCTTGCGAAGCGTGCCGACAGTGGTGTTTTTCAGGCGTGTGTCCGCTTGGCCCCGCATATTTCCCCTGTTCCTCCTTCTTCCCGCCTCCTTGTACATCCTCCTTGTGGGGGCAGCGGGAGAAGGACGACGCGGAAGAGGAGGGAGAGAAAGCGGTGGGAGGCAAGGTGGTCGTGGGCTCTTCGTGGTGTAAGTCGTTCGGGTCCCCCCTCCTGGACAGAGTCGTTCGGGCCCCTCCTTCCTTGTGTGAGTTGTTCGGCGAGGGGCCCGAACGACTCACACAAGAGCCCGAACGACTCACACCAGGGCGAGGGGCCCCAACGACGCACACCACATGCATTCTGGTCCAGGACGTCGACGACAGAGTCAGTAGGACGAGACCGGTAGCTCCCAGTAGTCAGTAGCAGCGTACGTACGCAGTAGTAGTAGTAGTAGTAGTAGTAGTAGTAGTAGTAGTAGTAGTAGTAGTAGTAGTAGTAGTAGTAGTAGTAGTAGTAGGAGTAGTAGTAGTACTAGTAGTAGTAGTAGTACAGTAGTAGTAGTAGTAGTAGTAGTAGTAGTAGTAGTAGTAGTAGTAGTAGTAGTAGTAGTAGTAGTAGTAGTAGTAGTAGTAGTAGTAGTAGTAGTAGTAGTAGTAGTAGTAGTAGTAGTAGTAGTAGTAGTACTGGTGTGACTCGTTCGGGCTCCTCGTGGTGTGAGTCGTTCGAGGCGCGCGTCGTGGTGTGAGTCGTTCGGGGTCCTCCTTCTGGCGTGAGACGTTCGGGTTCTTCGTGGTATGAGTCGTTCGGGCCCCTCGACCTGGTGTGAGTCGTTCGGGCTCCTCGTGGGGCCTCTTGGCGGCCTCTTGGAGCCTCTTTGGGCCTCTTGGGGGCCTCTTGGGGGCCTCTTCGGGGCCTCTTCGGGGCCTCCTGGGGCCTCTGGGGGCCTCTTGAGGGCCTCTGGGGGGTCTCTTGGGGGCCTCTTGGGGCCTCTTGGGGGCCTCTTGGGGGCCTCTTGGAGGCCTCTTGGGAGGCTCCTGGGGGCCTCTTGGGGCCATCTTGGCGCCTCTTGCGACATCCTCAGAAGCGCAAAGAAGCGCTGCCCCCTGAAAAGGACAAAATGAGCCCAAAACCATCGTAACATCAATGATTTTGCTATGAAGGAAGATGAGCGCGGCCCCCTCGGGATTCCAAAATGGGGCCAAAACCATAGTAAAAACAAGGATTTTGGCTTACCCCCTGTCGGAGCCAGAATCCTCGTGAGGGTCGTCGTTTTTTGGCCCTCCCAGGCGTCGAAAAAGACCACCCTGACGACCCGCGGGCTGCGCTCTCCAGGTCCAGGGGGAGGGGGTAGGGGGAGGGGTAAACCCCTCCCCGAAGGGGAAGAAGGGGGGTTGGGGGGTTGAGAACAGAGAAAGCTCGCTAAACCACTCACGCCCAAAGGGCTGGTGGGATTAAACCCATCGCCATCAGTGCCAGAGCCAGGATGATGCTGATGATGATGATGATGATGATGATGATGATGATGATGATGATGCTGATGCTGATGCTGATGCTGATGCTGATGCTGATGCTGATGCTGATGCTGATGCTGATGCTGATGATGCTGCTAATGATGATACGAATGATGATGCTGATGATGAAGCTGATGCTGATGCTAATTCTGCTGTCGATGATGCTGACGATTATGATGATGATGAGGAGGAGGAGGAGGAGGAGGAGGAGAAGGAGGAGTGTGTGGAGGAGAAAGAGAATGGTGTGGAGGAGGAAGAGGCGGAGGTGGTGGAGGAAGAGGAAGAGGGGAGCTGATTGCCTCTCGGGCCCCACCCGCGCCGCCCGCCATGCAGCGCGCCGGCGCGCTGCCCCCCCGCTCCGTCTGCGTGATCGGTGGCGGCCCCGCGGGCCTCGGCTGCTGCGCGGCGCTGCGGGGCTCGGGGGCCCCCATGAGGGGGACGGCAACGGGCGGGGGGGGGGGCAAGACAAGTCGTCTGTTGTCGGGCATTCTCGTCGGTCGGCGGCGACTTTCCAGCCTCGGGGCGCCTGCCTGCAGCTGCGCCGCGCCGAGGGCGTTCCCTCGGGATGCTCTCGGGCAGCTGGGCCTCGCCGAGAGCGCTCCGGGGGTGCCATGGTTCGTCCCAAACAGCAGGCCGGACAGCCGAGTTGTGGCCCGAAAGCCATGACAACGTCAGGGGGAGTTACTGTCAGGGGCTTTCTCTGGGCGCGTCGCGCCGTCAGTTTGGGCCCACCACGCTGCGGTGCGACACGCCGACTACGCCCCAGTATCCCCGGTACTCTAGCCTTAGCGCTCCCAGCGGTTCCGCGGTTCCGCGGAACGGAGCGAGGAACGGAGCGACACGCCATCTGCTCGAAGGGCATGGCGTGCCGCCTGCCAGGGCCGCCGCCGCGACACGCTAAGAAGACGATCCCGACCGTACACAGTGAGCTAATGGTTGTTTTTCCCCACATAGTTCTTGGAGGGCTAAGAGGTGCCGATATTAGAAGCCAGCCATCTAGGGTAGGCCCAGAATTCGATCTGGCTCCGGTCCAGGTGCCTCGCATCGTCCTGCCAGAGGTTCCAGCGTGTCACGGAAGCGTTTTCCTACTCGTTCCCACTACGTGTTCCGCAAGCCTTTGCGCAGCTCCTTCGCAGGGTTTTCTGAGCTCGTGCGAAGCACCAATTCCCTGCTTGCAAGCATCTTGGATATCTTTTCAAGCTTGCATGCAAGCCTCTCCCACAAGCTTGCAGGCGCCCCAGATTATCTGTGCTCGACTGCTCGCCATCCTGGGTTTGGACGCCGCTGAATTCCCTTTCCCTGGGGCCACCACGAGGGTGCGAAGTCAGTCGCGCTTCGCGGTCCAGTTGATTTCAGAGCGAGCACCGAGCCCCTCGTCCTGTTCCTGGGGGGGGGGGGGGGCGAAAACGCGAAGATCGTTGCCCCAGTTCCTTTCCTCGGAGGAGGGCCGGTCGAGAGCGGCGGCCTTCCCTGGCGTTTTTCGTGCCGTGTCGGGCCTGCCGGGGGCTTCCCGTTGCCGCGGCCGGATCCGCGGCTTCTCAGGATGGACCCCTGGAGGGGTCTGGGGCTCAGATGATGGTAGGAATGCCCAGGTTCTTGATCCGAGCGTCCTTCACATCAACTGAGGCTTGCCAGGTTAACAGCAACTGAGGTTAAAAAAACGCCGGGGGCGCTCTTAGCATCAACTGAGGTTTGGGGCCCGAGGTAGGAACTCCGTCGTCAGCTCGGTTGCGTTTCGCAGTGCCGCTTCTTTCAGTCGATCTGGGGCTGCAGTGTGGGTTCCGTTCTGGTTGGCCGAAAACTGGACAGCTGGAATCGGGGGGAGAAAAACGCCCCCAGCGTTATGATGCTCCAGCCTACTTTAACCTTGGTCACCAGGAAGAATTTCGAGCGCCCAAAGAAGTACCGAAACTCAAGGGTTTTCACGTGTCTGGCCTTGGGAGACTCTCGCCCGACACTGTTTCGACACTGTTTCGACACTCTTTTGTCACTTTTCTGGGTGCTCGAAATTATTTCTGGGATGTGGTCCTTGAGTAGGATGGGAACGACGTAGCCCCAGCGTTTTTAACATCAACTGAGGTCCGGGGGCCGATTCGGAGTGGATGTGGGCCGGGCGGGAGAGCTGCCGTTGCCCGAACTGGCCGTCTTCGACGTTCAAGCAGTGGCGAAGCGTCATGGCTCGCCTGTGGGCCCACCAAGGAAACAAGGGCGCCCTCGAGGGCGCGAAGTTGTTCGCGCTTTGCGCTTCGGCTCCGATACCTCCTCATCCTCCTCTTCTTCCCTGGGAGGCGGCGCGAGAGCGCGAAGTTTTTCGCACTTCGCGCTTCGCGCAGAGCGAAGCGCGAAGTTGGGAGCCCTTGGGAAAGTCCTCAGGATAACCTTTCGTGGTCTGCACGACATGTTTCCAGAGCATTTCTGGCTGAGGCTGTCTTGTTTTGACACATCGGGCCGATGTTCTAAGAACCGTATCTTTGTGGTTCGAACATTGTTTGGTTCTAAGAATGTGTCGTGGCAGGCCTATAGAAATGCCGGGACGGTCGGTCCCTGCTCAAGAAGGGAATGGTTGGTTTTCGATCATGGACCCCACGCTTAACACAACCATCCAGCTTTCGCGCCGAAGACCGCTGGAAACCGCCAAAGGCCGCGGGAAACCGCCGAAGATCATCAGAAGACGCCGAAGACCGTCCGAAGACGTCCGAAGACTGCCAAAGACGGCCCAGGAGAGATGGGTGGCAACACGAGGTCCATGGTGGAACACGCGAGACCGTCCCGACCTCTATGGTCGGCGTTTCCTGAACAGTCTTGTGCGTGTAGCGGACAGGCCCGCCCTGTTGGATTCCTCCTTTCGGGTCCGCTTTCTAAGGGGCCTCGTCTGAGGGCCATCCTTGTGATTGTGTGGTTCTTCTTCGGCCCTCCTTTTGCGCTGCCGAGCGCCTTCACGTCGCGGAGCTGCCCCCCGGCAGGTCCGCGTGACGCTGATCCAGGAGAGCCGCGGCATGGGCGGGAAGCTGTGCACGAAGTTCGCGGGCCCCGGCGGCAAGGACTCGGAGGGGACAGCGATAGGTTTATGTCCACCTCTTTCTTCCCTCCCTCCCCTCCTTCAGAAAGGAAGAACGCAATCGGAGGGCGAGGGGGGAGGGACGCATGAGGCAGACCTGTGCGGTCAAGACGCTGACGTAAGGAGCAGCTTGGGTTCGGAACGGGCTCGCTGTTCCTTGCGCCATTCAGCGGCTGTTCCTCGAGCCCTCATCGTGTCCGCAGGCGGGCTCCGTGCTTCATCTGTCGTTCCTTACTTCAGCAGCCCGGCTCTACACGTTGTTAATTTCTACTTCTTCGAAGGTTCTTTGATTATTTTTGGGGCCAGGGTCCTTTCATTTCTAATTGTTCCATCCTGGGCCTCTTCCTGGCCACTGGGGGGCCAGGAACAATTAGAAACGAGCACGATTAGAAACGAGCACGATTAGAAATGAACGACGTGTGCGTTGTTCGACCCCTGTGGCCTGCGGAGAGGACGACCCCACCCTCCACTTCGACATGGGCGTGCAGTTGCTGCGGCCGCGCGGCGCCCTGGCGGAGGCGCTCGGCGGCGAGGGGGTGGCGCCCTGGCCCGAGGACCCGCGGGACGCCCGGCTCCCGGGGCGGGGACTCCTGCAGCACCACCGCCCGGAGGATGCCGTAGATTTTCGGGGACCTCGACGGGCGATGTCTGTGGATGTACACATTGTTCATTCCTCAGTATTCGAAAGTTCTTGGACATTTTGGGGGGCCAAGATCCGTTCATTTCTAATTGTTCCATCCTGGGCTTCTTCCTGGCCACTGGGGGGCCAGGAACGATTAGAAACGAACACAATCAGAAGTGAGCACGATTAGAAATGAACGACGTGTATCCGGCCCCCCTGGGGGCCCACATCCCACATATGCACATATGTCAAAATCCACCGCCCGCCCGGGTTGCAGGACGTCGGTTCCACAGGCGGTGGATATGGGCCCAGGCGTGCAGGCGTGCAACGTCCTGTTTTTCCCAGCCATCCTGTGGTGTTGGGCCCTCGTTTTGAAGAGACGGTGTCCAGCGTTCCTCTCCTTCCTTCTTCCTTCCTTCCTCCTCCCCCTCCTCCCTCCCCTTCCTCCTCCGATGCCTACCTCTGCCCTCCGAACCAGTCAACCATTTCGGCACACCCCTCACACGTTTCGTGGCCCCACAGGGAGCCCTACCGAAGGCCCAAAATGCCAGCGTTCGCATGCGGTCAGCGCGCCCACCTTTGGCACACCCCTCAGACGTTTCGTGGCCCCACAGGGAGCCCCACCGAAGGCCCAGATGCCAGCGTTCGCATGCGGTCACCGCGCCCATTTCGGCACACCCCTCACACGTTTCGTGGCCCCACAGGGAGCCCCACCAAGGCCCAAATGCCAGCGTTCGCATGCGGCCACCGCACCCATTTTGGCACACCCCTCACACGTTCCGTGGCCCCATAGGGAGCCCCACCAAAGGCCCAAATGCCAGCGTTCGCATGCGGCCACCGCACCCATTTTGGCACACCCCTCACACATTCCGTGGCCCCATAGGGAGCCCCACCGAAGGCCCAAATGCCAGCGTTCGCATGCGGTCAGCGCGCCCATTTTGGTACACTCCTCGCACGTTCCGTTGCCCCACAGGGAGCCCCACCGAAGGCCCACATGCTGAGATTTTCGGAGCGCTTGAATGTTTTGAAATGGTTATAGGATTTTAAGATTTAGAGTTTTTTCGGAGGCCCAGGAGTTTTCGGCGATCCTGGTGGCTTGGTTCTGAGGTCCTGAGGGTCTTTCATTGTGTTTATTTGTAAAAAATGATTTTTGGGCCAAGGAATTTTCGGCAATCCTCCTCCTCTTCCTCATCTTGATTGTCCCCTCTTGCTCATCCTCCTGAGGAGGGCAGGCAGGAGGGAGCACGGAAAGAGAACGGAGGGGGTAGGAGGTTGATTGGATGAGATGTTGATAGTGATGTTGATCTTGATTGATGCTGATGCTGATGCTGATGCTGATGCTGATGCTGATGCTGATTGATGCTGATGCTAATGATGATGCTGATGGTGATGGTGATGGTGATGGTGATGGTGATTAGGACTGTTACCAAGCTCGCATTCCTCAACATGTTCTCCTTCATCCTCTTTCGCTTAGAGCTTGCTTTGCCATCTGCTATCCAATGATGCTGGTGATGGTGGTGATGGTAACAGTAACGATGACGGTGGCGATAGCGACGACGACCAAGACGACGATGGTGATGCCGACGACGATGAGGATACTGCTCATGGCGATAATGATGGTGATGGTGACGATGACGACGAACACGACGACTGTCATGATGATAACGGTGGTGGCGAGGACGGCGATGACGATGGTTGTCAGCGTGACTCCGCAAGCAGTGCTGTGCAGCGTACTCTGTGGAACAGTGTGGATGTGAGGTAGTTGTGCCACTTATGTTTGCGCACGTTGAAACCACCTCTGGATGCCGCCAGGAACCCTCGGCAGCTTATCTGGAGCCTTCTGGTGTCCTGGGGATTGGTCCAGAGTCTTCTGGGCCCTCCCAGACGGCTGGGACACGAATCAACTTATCAGCCTAGTAAGGCCTCTTGAGGCCACAGTTCCTGAGGCCACGGCGTCCCTAAAACGGCAGTGGGTTTTAGGGGGATCGGTCCCCCTAAAACTATCAAGGATTTTAGGGGTACCGGTCCCCCTAAACTGGGATTTGATTTTAGGGAGACCAGTCCCGCTAAAATGGGAGAGGGTTTTAGGGGGACCGGTCTCCCCAAAACGGGATTGGATTTCAGGGGGACCGGTCCCCCTAGAATTGGAGGGGATTTTAAGGGGGCCAGTCACCGTAAAACTGGAGGGGATTTTAGGGGCACCCGCCGCCTTAAAACGGGAGGATTTTCCTTTCAATTCAGATGGGATTTTAGGGAGACCGCCCGAAAGTGGAAAGAGATTTCCCTTTTAATTCAGATGAGATTTTAGGGAGACCCGTCTCCAGAAAGCAGAAAGGGGGGGTTCCTGGAGTTTCTTGGGGCCACCTCGGAGCCTCTCGGGGCCCAGGGCTCGAAGTGTATGTTCGGCCCACCCTCCGTCTGGGCACACTCTCGGAGTCGGTTTGGAGGGCTTCTTGGGTTGTCTTGAAGCCTTCTTGGGCCATCTTGGGCACTTGATGGGAATAGTCGCATAATAATGCTTTGCGTTTCAAGATACCACCTCGTCTGAAAGTGTCGTTTTGTACGCAGAGCCCAGCATGGAATGCAATTGCATTCATCAAACTGTATATGCCGGTACCTGTTTGCCCAAGTGTTTAAGTCGTTCTTGACCAAGGCCTGTCTTGCGCCGCCCCTGCTCCAGCGATGAAGCGGCCTGATGCCGCCCCACCTGCTGCTGAGCCCGCCTCGCCCGCTGCTTAAGACCTCAAGCCGCCTGCTGCTCAAGACCTCATGCCTCGACGCCTCGCCGTGTGCAATTCCCTACCTAGGCTCTGCCTAGAAGGGTTCTTACTCGGTTTGCTTGAAGGGCCGGGCAGGGTAACCCGCCCCGGGCGGTTCCCCCGGCCCCCTGGGAGCGGTTCCCCCAGTCCCTTGGGAGCCTTAGTTTGAGCTTTAGCTCTAGCTCTAGCTCTAGCTCTAGCTTCAGCTCAGCTTTAGCTTTAGCTTTAGCTTCAGCTTAAGTTGAGCGTAGCTTTAGCTTAGCTTTAGCCTAGCTTTAGCTTAACTTTCGCTTAGCTTTAGCTTAGCTTTAGCTTTAGCGTAGCTTTAGCTTAGCTCCACCTTAGCTTTACCTGAGCTTTAGCTTAGGTTCAGCTTAGCAGTAGCTTAGCTTTTCCTTAGCTTTGCTTAGCTTCAGCTTAGCTTTAGCTTAGCTTGAGTTTAGCTCCAGCTTAGCTTTAGCTTAGCTTTAGCTTAGCTCCAGCTTAGCTTTAGCTTAGCTGTAGCTTAGCTTCAGCTTAGCTTTAGCTTAGCTTCAGCGTAGCTTTAGCATAGCTTTAGCTTAGCGTCAGCTTAGCTTTAGCTTAGCATTAGCTTGGCTGTAGCTCAGCTTTAGCTTAGCTTTAGCGTAGTTCTAGCTTAGCTTTAGCTTCGTTCTACTGTTACTACTAATGCTGCTTTCCTAGGGGCTCCAACTCCTAGGTAGGGTCGCACGGTGATGCTTGGTATATTACGATAAAGCAGCATATATATATACTCTCTCTATATATATTTAAATATATATACTGAAAAAAGCGTTGTACCCTACGTATTACCGTATATCTGTTTCCTACCTAGGCTCTGCCTAGAAGTGTTCTTACCCTGTGAACTTACAGGGCCGGGCAGTGCAAACCGCCCCGTGCGGTTCCCCCGGCATCCGCTCCGCGGTTCCCCCAGCGACGGCCCCTTAGTTTAGCGTTGCTTATCCCATCTTAGCTCAGCCTAGCTTAACTTAGCTTTGCTTAGCTGTGCCTAGCCTAGCTTAGCTTAGCTTCGCCTCGCCTAGCCTAGCGTAGCCTAGCTTAGCTTAGCTTAGCTTATTTAGCTTAGTTTAGCTTAGCTTGGCCTAGCTTGGTTCAGCTTAGCTTAGTTTAGCCTAGCCTAGCCTAGCTTAGCTTAGCCGAGCTTACCTTAGCATAGCTTAGCGCAGCGCAGCATAGCGCGGCGCAACAGTAACACAGCATAACATAACATCGCATAGCCAAGCATAGCATAGCATAGCATACCATAGCTTGATCAACATAGCACAGCATGCCATACCATATCATATCATAACGCAGCATATCACAGCATATCATAGCATAGCATTGCTTCGCATAGCACAGCGCAGCATCGCATAGCGTATCGCAGCATATCATAGCATATCATAGCACAGCATCGCATCGCGCAGCATAGCATAGCTATAGCTTAGCTTTCGCTCTTCTTTGGCTTAGCTTTCGCTTAGCTTCTAGCTTAGCTTTACTGTCACTACTTAGGTTGTTTTCATAGGGGTTCCAACTCCTAGGTGGGGTCGCGCTGGTATATTTTGTTATCAATATGTGTCACTTTACATGTACACGACATATATGTATATACATATACACATGGATTAGTTTATGTATATATACATGTACGGTGTACATATTTATATATGTATATATATATCCATACATATATGTATATATATATATGAAACAATGATCGTGTATCGTGCACATACCGTGTTCTCACATTAAACAATACTTGATGTATGTTACAGAGGGCAGTGCCGACTGTATATAACATGTTTTACATATGTGTGTGGCTATTACAAGCACATGTTCATATATCATATACGGGCCTCAGCAGGTACTGGGGTGTCCCTGGAGGCCGCAGGAGGCAACAACATGTTTCAGTAGGTCCAGACACCACAATGTCTTAGCAAACATATGTGGAGCCACCAGGGGATACTAGGAAACCCAAGGGGGCCCCAGGAAGCCATTCACCGTTCCAACAGGAAGTGCGGGGAGGCCCCAGGCTAATTCAGGAAACCCAGGGAGGCTTCAAGGATATGCTAGGAAACCACAGGAGGCCCCAGTTTCTCAGGACCCCCAGGAGGCCCCAGGAACCCCCCGGAAGATTCAAGACGCCCAGGAGGCCCCAGGAGGCGGCACGGCATCCCA